TTTCACATTCCAGCAATGACATTACCAAATCAACCTTCTTAGCTGAAGCCAGGAATAGAGGTATGGTATATGGAAAGATCTATGAAAGACCTACTTCTCTGATGGTTTGGATCCCTGTGAATTGCACAGGAGACCAACAACATTTTTGTGAATGTTTTATCCACAGAAACATGACAGCTTGGAAGCTTAAGGCGACAGATACAGAATGAAATGAGGGAACTCTGTCCATGTAAGATTCTACAGGCAGGAAAAGGGCCAACAAAGCTATGTATCTGGAAATATACATTAACCTTCAAGAAAAGGAAAGAATAATCCCAAAGCTGGTTCAGAGTTGGACAAGGCTGCCATGGCCATCAGGCCCAGAAGGTACAGGCCCAGGGGTAGGATTGTGTCTTCCTCAGTTCCAGGGGCCAGACAAGGAGGGCAGAGCATAACCACAGAGGATTATTCTTAAGCCTTGAAATCTAACGAAATGTGTCCTGTCAGGTCACATACTTGCTTGGGACCAATGACTCCTATTTCCCTCCTGATTCTTCTCCCTTGGAATGGGGACATCTATCCTACATCTGCCCCACCACTGTATTTGGGAAGCACATGGTATGATGTCTGATTTTACACATTCAAGGCTGGAAAGGATGTATCTTCCCTCAAATCTCACCCAAATCTGATTTAGATGATATTTACCTGAAATTAGATGCTGGAATGAGTTAGGACTCTAGGGAACATTGAGAGATGGTGAATATATTTTACATGTGAAAAGAACATGAATTTGGGGAGAGGGTAGATTTATGAGTTGAATTGTGTTTCCCAGAATTCATATATTGAAACCCTAATGCCTCGCACCTCAGAATATGACCTTATTTGAAAAAGCATAATTGCAGTTGTAATTAAATAAGATGAGGACATACATAGGGTGGACCTCCTTCATTTCCACAAGGATTTCTTCAAAGTCTGGTCACTGGGAAGGGTCCACTGAATGCCAGTGATAGCCTCAATTCTGAGAGTGAATGGTGCCATTTTAACCTGACTATACATTTTGCTGTTATAGGCTATATTCATTTACTAGGGCTGCCACAGACTGTGTAGTTTAGATGATACAAATGTATCACCTCACAGTTGCGGAGGTTAGAAATATGCCAGCAGAGGTGGTTCCTTCAAAGGGCAATGAGGAAAAATCCATTCCATGCCTGTCTCCTAGCTTCTGGTTGTCTCCTGGAAATCCTTGGCATCACACGGCTTGTAGATCTCTGCCTTCACATGGTGTTTTCCCCGTATGCATATCTGTGTCCAAATTCCACTCCTTTATATCAGGTCACATTAGTTATAAATTAGGACTCATCCTACTCCACTATATTTCTACCTTTACTAATTACATCTGCGATGGCCCTATTTCCAAATAAGGTCACACTCTGAGGTACTGGGGGTTAAGATTTTAACATGTGAATTGAAATGGCCTGGGTGGGGTGAGACTACACAGTAGGATCCATAGCAAAAGGAAAGTGAATGCCAGGGAAGCCTAATAAATTGGCCCCTACAACTAAATCCAGGGACTCAAACCCACCAAGGTCTTCAGAAGGGCTTGTAGAATGTTATCTCAGAAAGGAAGTAGGGGTCTTCATCATGGCCCCCACCCAGATGATCAAAGTCAGCTCCACAGGTCATTAGCTTTGTTGTCCTGGCAGATTGAGCCTGGGGCACGTCTGCAAGTGCCCTACACACTGTCACAGAAGCTGCCAGGATGAAAGGCAGAGAGATAAGCAGTCCACTGATGGGACATGCTGTCTGTCACATTGTATCTGTGTGCAGCTGGTGAGCACAATGATGGCTGGAGTAAAACGTGGACCCCAGCCCGGCACAGGAGGGCTTAAGATAGGGCTAAAATTCTAACTTTGCAACAATACTCAAAAATTTTACTTTTTAAAATAATTTAACTTGCCAACCTTTTGTCATTTTAAGTCTATTTCAAGAAACACATTAAGCTTATATCTTACATATTTTGCTCTGTTTTCTTCTAACTGGTTTATACATTTATTTTTCTCCCCAAAGGAAACAATATGCTTTTATTATAACTTCATTCTGTTAGTTTGTTGATCTGTGTCTATATGCTTGCGTGTCATGCAATGCAATTTGTTGTTTTTTATCCAAATTTATTTATTTACATATATATAATATATAGTGTATAATGTGATGTTTTGAAATGAGTATACATTGTGAAATAATTACCACAATCAAGCTACTTAACATGTCTATCATTTCACATAGTCACCCTTTTACATTGTTGTGTATGTTCATGTGTGATGAGAACACTTAAGATCCACCTTCTTAGCAAATTTCAAGAATACAATATGGTATTGTTGACTATAGTCGCATTACTGTACATTTAGCTCCACTTTTAAAATGTATCTTTACAGGAAACCATTAAAATCCTAGAGGAGAAAACCGGCAACAACCTCTTTGACTGAGGCCGCAGCAACTTCTTACTTGACATGTCTCTGCAGGAAAAGGAAATAAAAGCAAAATGAACCATTGAGGCCTCATCAAGATAAAAAAAAAAAAAAATCTGCACAGTGAAGGAAACAACCAACAAAACTAAAGTCAGCCTACAGAATGGGAGGAGATATTTGCAAATAACATATCAGATAAAGGGTTAGTATCCAAAATCTATAAAAAACGTACCAAACTCAACGCCCCCCAAAAAAAAACAGAACCTAAAACTAAAACTAAAACAAATAATCTAGTTAAGAAATGAGCACAAGACATGAATAGACATTTTTCCAGTGAAGACATCCAGATGGCTAACAGACACATGAAGAGACACTCAACATCACTCATCATCAGGGAAATACAAATCTAAGTGAAGGGAAGTGAAGGGAAGACTGGGTTATTCAGTCAGCTGAGTGATTTCAGGTCAGGTCATGATCCCAGGGTCATGGGGTGAAGACCCACATTGAGCTCCATGGTCAGTGTGGAGCCTATTTGAGATTCTCTCTCTCTCCCTCTGCCTCTCCTCCCCCACTCACTGTCTTAAAAATAATAACAATAAATAATAATAATAATGATGATGATAGTACTCTCCTTTTTAATAGAACTTCCTCATTTGGAGTTGATCTGGTATTTCCTGATAATTAGATTCTGGGTATGCATTCTCAGCCAGAATTACACACAGGTGACAATATTTCCTTCTCAAGTTATCTCACCCAAAAGCAGACATCCATTTGCACCCATCGATCTTTTTTTTTAGGTGGTCAGGGTACTATCTAGTTCCTGTTCTTTATAAAGTTACTATTCTTCTTTAGCAATTGATTAGCCAACTGAGGAGAGATAACTCTCAGACTACAGAAGTATCCTGCTCTGATTTAAACTTCTCTTTAGATTTTAGTATGCATTGCTGCTTCATACCTGATCCAATCTTTACTAAGATGTTTGAGAATGATTTTTTTTTTTTCCAGTCGCATGCTGTTGATGTTTATAGATTGATCTTCTATCCAGCAACTTTACTTATTTTTTAGTTCTGCTGGTGTGGAAAGCCTCATGGATATTTCCAAATTAATAGTCCTATTGTGGAATGTGTATTAATTCAGATCTTCCTCTGGGTCATTGAGGGGTAAATTCCTAACTCAGTTTTAAGTTCCTCATGCCCATTTTTTTTTCCTCTTTCAAGCTTAACTGTGCTTTAATTACATTTTACCCTGTGTGTCAAGACGTCTCTAGCAGGGAGACAGTCTGTAATAGTTCACCCAGATGCAAAAAACAAAAATCTAGACCAGAGTTACTAAAAAGGGCTGGTCCTAGGCAAAAAAGAAAAAGAAAAAAAAGTTTCTAACAGAATATAAATCATATACTTCTTTCTTTATTGAGACAGTCTTACCAAGAAAAAAAAAAGTCACCTTATCTAAAAAGCATACTTAGGAATGGGATTGATTTACATTCTTGCGTAAGCTCCTTATATCAACAGTCCATAGGCCATAGTCTGAGTAGCAAAGTCTGGATAGTTCATTTGACAGATGAAGCAATGTTTCCATCCTGAACAATTCTGTGTGGTTCAAGAGTTGCCCCATGTGTAGAGAAGCAATTAGTCAATATTTATTAATGATTTAATGCTATGCAAAGAGTGGCAGATGAACTGCTCCTGAGATAAATCCAAGATAAGCTCTTATAGTTGAAGGCAAAATGTATTTTCTACACAATACTTCTATTTAGGAGTACAGGCTCCATCTACTCTAATACTGTCCTGTATATGATTTTCAACTTTCTGTCCTACCAGAGCTGAAATTTCAACCATCAGAATGAGAGCAAGGTGATTTTTTTCCCCATGCATTACAACTGAACCATTTGGTAAAGAGATTTTTTAAATGCATAAAGCAATTTAACTTATCTTTAAAGTAGAGAGATTTCTAGGTACCTTTAATTAAGGAAAAGAGAGCATTTAAATCAATAAATACAAAAGGTTTTATATTTTTTGAAATTTCACCAGGTAAAATAAACATGAATTATTTTATTAGAAAATATACCTGTTACAAAAATTTTAAATAAATAAGTTGCTGCCACAAAATTGCAACATAATACACAGTTTACTTTTTCTGTTACCCTCAGTAAAGGGAAATAATGTAAGAGTGATGATATGGGTAAAAGTAAACAGAGCAAAGAGGAGTGAAAAAAGATATGAGGGAAAGGAGATTTAGAGAGAGTAAAAAGAGAAAAAGTGCTTTCTTAAATGAGTTAGTCATATGAGGTCACCAAGAATGGTGACTAAGTTTCTACAATGAGAACCACATCATTTGGATGACTTCATTGTCTTGGTGTCTTCAAGCCAGGGGTACAGGAGATGCTCATATTCTCGACACAAAGGCACCATCAGCAAGGTTTCGCTGTCCCACACTGGACCAGAAGAATCATGGAGTGATGGTCTTAACCCTGAATGGAGGAGTGCTCCCTCCCACTTGTCTACACTGGGACAGCAGGGAGCCAAAACGCTGGCATCTGGCGGCCTGCTTCAACTGCTACCAAGAAGGCTCAAAGACAATGGTCAACTCAGGCTTTTCTTCTTGAAGTATTTCTAATGCACATTTTGTATCATAATTGAAATACATTCCACACAACCTGTAAAAAGCAAAAGAGAGCCTTGGGTTCTACTCTTCAAAGAACACTCTCAGAGTTGTTTTGTTTTGTTTGTTTGTTTGTTTTTGTTTTTGCCTAATAAATCTCATCTCCTTACTTCCCTTAACCTAACACACTTCTAAGGTCTCTGATGCTACACCTCATGCCAAATGTTGTTTCTGTTATATTTTTAACCTTCAAGTTTGGAAATGTTTCAACATATGTAAATTTAGAGAAAATAGTATAAGGGATCCCCATATGCCTATTACCCAGATTTGACAATTAATAACTCATGGCCAATCTTGTTTTATCTATTGCCCCCCTACTCCTCACATCAATGGATATTACAAACACAGCATTTCATACATCTATAAATATTGAACTATGTGACACTAAATGAAGCCTTTTTAAAACACAACCACAATGCCATTTTCACACTGTAAAAAGTTAACAATTGGGTGTCTCAGTGGGTTAAGCACCCAACTCTTGATTTTGGCTCAGGTCAGGATCTCACAGTTCATGAGTTTGAGCCCCGTGTCAGGCTCTGTGTTGACAGTGTGGAGCCTGCTTGGGATTCTCACCCTCTCTCTGCCCCTCCCTGGCTCAAGCTCTCTCTTTCTCTCTCAAAATAAATAAACTTAAAAAAAATTTTTTTATGTTAACAATAATTTCTTATTATCAACATATGTCCAATCAGTGTTTAAATTTCCTCAACTGACTGATACACTTTTATATTATGTTCATTGAATCAGGAGACATATGAAGCTCACACATTGCAGCCTCTAAAGTGTTCTTTGATACATTCTTCCCCTTTTTTATTTTTGTAAGTTTCCCTTGCAACTTAGCTAAGAAATCATACCATTTGTCCTGCATCATTTCTAACAACCTTGATTTGGTTGTGTTATGAACTCAATGTTTGTATTTCTCCAAAATTCATACACGGAAGCCCTAATTCTCAATGTGATGGTATTTGGAAATAGGGCCGTTGGGATATAATTAGGGTTAGATAAGGTCATGGGGGTGGGCCCTCATGATGGTATCACTGCCTTTATGATAAGAGATACACACACTCTGTCTCCCTGTCCCTGCCTTGCTCTCTTTCTGCCATATAAGGACACAGGAAGAAGGCAGCCCTCTGTAAGCCTAGAAGAAAGCTCTCACTAGAAGTGGAATTACTGGGCACCGTGATCTTAGATTTTCCGTATTCTAAAACTGTGAGAAATAAATGCCTGTTTGTTTAAGGCAGCCTGAGCTAATGAGATAGGTTGATTGGATCCATGGGCTTTTCAGCCTATTTGAAGCTTGTCCCTTACCTCCAGAGTGTCCTTCTGGGGTGGGTCAGGACTCCACATACAGTAATGTCCCTGGCTTCATCCTGACATATCCTACACTTTGTCCCTCTATTTATCTTAGCTCTGAGAATGTTGGCTTTCCTTCAGTAAACATGCTCCACTGTGTCTGCATAAGGATGCAATGCTGATCCAAACTTCTGTTTATTCAAACTTGCATTCCAGTTGGTTCTTAGCCTTGAGGTCATGAACAAGAACAGAAGTCCTTGTTATAATATAGAATTTATATTACTTGGTAAGATATAGATAATAAATGAAAAAGAAAATGATATAGCACGTAAGTATTCTGCTGAAATGATATAGCGTGTATGTATGCTGCTGATTAATACTACAGAGGAAAATAAAAAAAAAAAGGCAAAAACAAGAAGGATATGCTGATCTGTTCTTTTCATTAGGATGGTCAGAGACAGACACGTAGAAGACCTTTAGGCAGAGAATTTAAGGATACATGGAAACAAGACATGTGGATATCAAAGGGGAGAGAGTTCTAGGCAGAAGAAACAGCACATGAAAAGGTGACCGTATTTTTGCAAAACTGCAAAGATATCAGTGGAGCACAAAGAACAAGTATTAGGAGAAGATGAATTTGCAGGAGCAACAGGAGCCAGATCACATGAGGCCTTACACAATACCATGAGTTTGTGGATCTTGAAATGTGATAGGAAGTCACTAGAGCATGTTGGTAGGAATGATATGATCACTGATTCATTTTTTTAATGTTTGTTTGTTTGTTTGTTTGTTTAGAGACAGAGAAAGAGAGCAAGCAAGCAAGGGAGGTGCAGAGAGAGGGAGGGAGAGAGAATCCCAAGCAGATTCCACACTGTCAGCACAGAGCCTGAGGTGGGGCTTGATCCCACAAACCATGAGATCATGACCTGGGCCAAAATCAAGAGTCAGATGCTTAACTGACTGAGCCACCCAGGTGCCCCTAACTCATGTTTTAGTTGCACCCTCCATCTGCCATGGTAAGAATACTACATGCAGAGGAGCCTGGCAGAATGCCACCAGAACAATCCAGATAAGAGGGGACAATGGCTTGAACCAGGGTACAAGTCATGAAGTTGGCAAGAAGAGATCAACAAGCAGGTATGTTATGAAAGAAGAGCTATTAGGACATGCCAACACGTTGGACATGTGCATAAGAAAAAGGTGTCAAAGTTGACACAGGATTTCTTTTTTAGCCTGAGCAATTCACAATGAGTAAGCGTTGGTGGAGATGGGAAAGAAGCAGGTGTTAGATGGGGTGGGGGGTATAATGCAGGCTTGAATTTGGACATGTAAAGTTTAGGTTTATTAGACAAATGGAAAGTCAGACTAGCGTTTGGACATGGAATTCATGCAGGTATAAATTGGGTGACACAGGACATATACAATAAAGCCAGAAGACTAGATGATGCAAACACAAGATAGAGTTTAGAGAAGAAAAATTAGCTCAATGATTGCATCCTGGGGATGCAGCATGTGCAGGTCAGGTTGATAAAGAGAATCCGTAAAGGAGACTGAGCAGAAACAGCTCATGAAGTAGAAGAAAATCCAGGGTGTTGCCTCTAAAGCAAAGTGAGGGAAATGTCTTCAGTGGAGACTGTGATTGTCCTGACTGACCAAGGTAGGAGACTCACTAGGGAGTTCTTACTCAAGAGGTAATGAGTGGTATTACTAATAAGGAAACCCAACACAATGCAGATGAACTGACGTCTGTGGAATTTCCAATCTTGCTGATTCTGAAACTCTCTTTCCATTTGGAAGTCTTCAGAAACAAGACCTACAACACCCCACTGTGCAAAGACCTTGGCAATTACAGTGAACCATGGACTCCTCCAGTTCTGCAAAGTCCAGTCCCTTGCATAGCCATGTAATTCTATTTGGCAACTTTCATTGGGGCTTGGGTTTCTTTCAGGAAAATGAATGGAAACTCTTTTCACACTGAACTGAAACTTGATTTTCAAAGTTAATGTCTGCATAAAGTCTGGATGAAGTTAAATATGTGGTTCATGACTCACATTCCTTATGAGAAAAAAAAAAAACCTCAGTCTGAGTACAAATGAAGCCCTCCCAGGTTTTGATAACTGGTCAACCTGTCCTTTGTACTCTGAACCCCACCACGTGAATCTCTGAAGAGCACACTTACTTCAGGCGTTTCAGGAGGCAGCCCTGCTGCCTCAGCACCTCACAGAGTAGCATGACCCCCAGATCACCAAGGTCATTGTTGCCTAGGCTCAGGTCCCGCAGGCTCTGGTTGGAGGTCAGAAGTGTGGAAAGGTCCCAGCAACAGTGTGAGGTGAGACTACAGTTGTCCAATCTGCAAGAAACAGGGTGATTTAAAGAAAATGTCCCCTTAGCCATCCCAGCAGGTGCCCCAGATCTCAGCCTGAAATGTTTCAAATGCACAAAAAGCACAGGATTAACAAACTTAGAATAATCCTCTGTGCCTGTGGTTATTCTTCTTTCCTTTTCAGATGATAGTATTTTTTTCCAGTCTACTGGATTGTGCAGATCAAATTAGGAATAGTAGTTTGTGAATTGATTTTTCCCCAATTCTATGCCTCTCCCTAAATTTCCCTAAAACACAAGTGTCATATATTTCTATTCTTTTGTGGTGAAATCCACAAATCCAAATCCAGTATTTACCTTTACATCACTGAGAAGTAGAATTCTTCCCAGGTGCATGATCCTGTAACAAGCCAAACCTTAGGAGAACATCATTACTTCTCAGGTACAAATCATTCTATCATTACCCCCCCCCCACACACACACACACATACCTTAGCCACCATGCATCCACATCATTGTAATAAGCTAAGGGACTGGGGCACCTGGGTGGCTCAGTTTCTTAAGCCGCCCTTTGTTTCAGCTCAGGTCATGATCTCACAGTGTGTGAGTTCAAGTCCCACATTGGGAGTTCAAACTGCACTGGCAGTGCAAAGCCTGCTTGTGATCCTTTCTCTCCCTCTCTTTCTGCCTTTCTCTCACTCAAAAATAAATAAGCAAAAATTAAAAAAAAAAAAGCTAAGGGACTTACTCCAATATCTGAAGCTTGCAGCTGGGGTGCAAGAGGCCCTCACAGAGTAGCTTCACCCCTGTGTCTCCAAGAGCATTGCCCCTTAGGTAAAGGTGTGTGAGTTTCTGGTTAGTGCTGAGCACTGAAGACAGAGCTGGGCAGCAACCTGATGTAAGTCCCGAATTCATCAACCTGGAGAAGGAACAAGGAAAAGAGTCATCAGTGTTCAGACTTCCTTGAACATTGCACAGCTATCTCACCAGAGGAATCTCTTATCTAAAAAGCTACATCCTTCAACTTCAAGATGAGGAGCCAGCATCTTGGATACAATCTGAGGAGCACATGACTCCTTGTCTCTGGCCACATAAAAGAGACAAATAGTCTCAGCAGATGCTTGGCTGGGATCAGTAGAAGAGACAGAGCAAAAGCAAATTAATCCAGATTCCTTCCACATCCTTCTTCCTTCTTATGCATATTCCCTCTGCCATGCATGCTCCCTACCATCACATCTTCAAGAAATACATCCCAGGTTGTCTGTCACTGATAATTCCTACCACATTGCACAGACTTGCCTTATTTGACTCTCACATTAACTGAGCAAGTTAGCAGTGCCGCAGTAACTATTATGTATCTGTTACAGATCAGAAATCTTAGGTTTATCAAAGCATATGTTTCTCTTAGGGTCAAAGAGCAAGCGTTCAGTGGATGGGGGACCTAGACTTAAGCCTTCTAGTGCCATCTCACCTCTGTTGCCCCTTCTGTCCATATTCTTGTTGCTTCTGCCTTGGAAGGAGTCTCTCAGAGAATAAAGCTCTAAATTTGCATTACACTCAGTGGGATTAAGATTTTTGGTGTACTACACTTGGGTCAAGTTGAACATATTCTATCACCAACAGAAGCATGAGGGCTTTGAAGTAGAGAGCTACATCACTCCAGCATAGAAGCTCAGAGGGTGGTATACAGTATACAGAAAGCCACATATGCTAGGGCCTCAACAAAACCTTGACTTAAGAACATCTCATGCAATCATATTCTTTCCTTCCACAATCCTTAACAATGACATGCCTTTAAGCTCCAAGGTGTCTTAGAATCAGGAAAAATAGAAACATATAAAGTAGCATGAGCAGGTGATCAAAAGAAAACAGAAGTACTTGTTTTCCCAGTCAAGGATGAATCATAATTTAAAAAATAGAATAAGCAAGACAAAGAAGGGAATGAAGCCCAAAATGGAGGAGTAAAAACAAAACAAAACAAAACAAAACAAACAAACAAACAAAAGGCAAGTTCTGAGGGGCTTCTAGTGAGTTAAGAATGGCCAGTTAAGAATAATTTTATCAGATGGACTCTATTTAACATGTACAAGGGATTTGCAGGATTATTGGCTGTTCTGAACTGAATGTTTGTGTCATCTCAGAATCATATGTTGAAATCTTAATCCTCAATGTGATAGTATTAGAAAGTATGGCCTTTAAGGGGTAAATAGGTCTTGAGGGTATCGTCTTCATGATGGGATTAGCACCTTTGTAAAACAGACCCCAGAGAGTTCCCATGCCTCTACTGCCATGTGAGGACACACCAGGAAGGTGGCTGTCTGAAAGCCAGGAAGAGAGCTCTTACCAGAAATCAGATGATCTACAAGCACCTTGATCTTGGGCTTCCAGGATCCAGAACTTTGAACATAAATGTTTGTTGTTTGAGTCACCCAGAAAATGGTATTTTTGTTACAGTAGCCTGAACAGACTAAGACATTGGAAAAGATGAACAACATTCCAGAAGACTGAAGATAGTCATCCAAAAAGAAAGGAAAGACCATTTGAAAGTTACAAAATGGCAAGCTTTGCCATCCTCCCCAGAAAAGGATTAGAAAATATATGAAACAGATGTTTGAGGAGCAGTGCACCATGAAGTGACAACAGTTACAAGCACAGGATGATTTTGTTGAGAATGAGTCACATATGAATTGTCAAAACATTGATAATATTGGTAACATTGAGACTGAGTGATGGGTACGTGGAGTGCATAACAAAATGTTTAGTCAATTGAACACCCAATTCTACCAACCAATCCACTTGATTCAACAGATGTAACCAACTTTGTATGTACATCTTGGTATCAAGCAATCCATTCAACTAAGTTCTACATTCACTGGGCACAGATATTTTGCCATGTACTATATTGTTAAATTATTGGGTTTTTTTAATTTTTTTAAAAAACATTTATTTTTCACAGAAAGAGAGAGAGACAAAGTGTAAGTGGGGGAAGTGCAGAGAGAGATGGAGACACAGAATCCGAAGCAAGCTCCAGGCTCTGGGCTGTCAGCACAGAGCCTGATTCAGGGCTCAAACCCACAAACTATGAGATCATGACCTGAGCCGAAGTCTGACACTCAACCAACTGAACCACCCAGGTGCTCCTGTCTTTTTTTTTTTTATTTACTAATGATATGCCTTAGGTTATAAATATGTGTTCCAAAAAATATTTAAGTAAACTTAACATTTATTGAGGGTTTACTATATTTTTTGCCAAGACAATGACTTTAAACAGGATTATCACATTGAATTACTACAAAACCAAGATGCAGGTATTGTTTTTATCCTTATTTTTAAATGGAAAAGCTGAGTAACAGGGAAATTACTTGAAGAATAAGAAGAAGCTTCTTAGATGGACTGTGAGGGTGGGAGGGTATTTTGCATACAGGCAAAAGGAAGGCAGTAAGCAAGAGGAGGAAGGGTGAAAGAGGCCAGGTTCCTAAAACTAAAAACGAATTCAATATGACTCAAAATGGAGTGAACGGTGTGTTAGGTGAAAGGGCAGAAACAGTGATCTAGAGCTGGTCACAGATAGTTTCGTGTACCATGCAAAGAAACACAAACTTTGGAGGTTTTTGCTTTTGTTTTTGTTTTAAATAAATGACTCAATATTATCAAATCTGTATTTTAGAAAACTCCTCTGGTGTTTGTCAAAAGAAAAAAGAAGGTAGAAGGAACTGAAAGTAAAGAAAATCGAGGATTTTCCTCTGTTTATTGGCTGATCAGCCTCTGGAAAGTGCCACTGTTCAACAAGGCAGTAAAGAAAGGACAGGCAGGCGACAAAGGGATGAGGGTAGGGAGTAAGTAATAAAAATTAAAGAATTTTGCAAATGCTTACCTTGTGGCAGTTGTGTAATATTGGGGGTAGGGGGTGCAAAATGCAACCAGAGATAAAGTTCTAAAGTTCAAGATATTTGGCTATGCCTAACAAAATATAAAATGCCTACAAGTGTTCCCTCATTAATTACACGTATAGGTATCCATCGCAAGAGAAATATCTACACATACATAAAGTTATATAAACAAGTATTTTTTTCAGGGACGCCTGGGTGGCTAAGTCAGTGAAGCGTCCGACTTTGGCTCAGGTCGTGTCTCACAGTTTGTGTGTTTGGGCCCCGTGGGGGCCTCTATGCTGACAGCTCAGAGCTTGGAGCCTGCTTCCGATTATGTGTCTCCCTCTCTCTCTGCCCTTCCCCTGCTCATGCTCTGTCTCTCTCTCTCTCAAAAATAAATTGAAAACATATTTTAAAAAATTTTAAAAAACAAATATGTTTTTCATAGTTACTTGTAATAGTAAAAAGGGAAAAATTCATCCAAAGGTTCACTATTCAATAAGAACTTAAATCAATCACTATAATGAATATTATGTAATATTATGCCCAAATCTGTATATACCAGCATGGCAATAAATCCCTGATAAATTTAAGAAGAAATAATAAGAAAGCATTCATATTATGATTCTGGTTTTGACAGATAGTATTATGGGTTGAATTATGTTCCCCAAAACCTTATATGCTGGAGTCTGAACCCCCAGTACCTCAGAATGTGACCTTATTTTAAAATAAGGTCATTGAAGATGCAATTGGTTAAGAAGAAGTCAAGAAAGTGAGCCCTATTTCAACCTGACTGGTACCTTCTATATCTATAACAGGGAAATTTGGATACAAAGACACACACCAACACAGAGACAATACCATGTAGAGATGAAAGCTAAGAGGTGATGCATTTGTAAGCCCAGGATGTGGAACATTGCCAGCAAACCAGCAGAAACTGAAAAAGATGTATGAAATTGATTCTTCATCACAGCCCTAGGAGGAACAAACTCTGCCAACATTGGGATCTTGGACTAGTAGCCTATACTGCTGGAAGACAATAGATTGTGGTTGGAACATTCACACCAACTACAGCAGAATACACATTCTTTTCACATGTACACAGAGCATTTTCTAAAATAGATCATATGTTAGGCCACAAAACAAGTCTTAGCAAATTCAAAAAGACTGAAATAATGCCAAGTATCTTTTCTGACCACAATGGTATGAAAGTACAAATCAATAACAGGAGAACAACTGAAAATCCAAGAATACAAGGAAATCAAATAACATTCTCCTGAACAGCCAACAGGTTTAAAAAATTTGCTGGAGAAATTAAAAAAAAAAAAAAAGAAGAA